AGGGTGGAGGTGGCCTCCTGCGCCTGGCGGCACCCTGCGGCCGCGCGGGCCTCACCCCTCCTCACTCCCTCCTCACTACTTCCCTCCCTCCCCGTCCCTCCCCGTGCGCCGGCTGGTGGTGCAGGGGATGACGAGGAGATTGAGCGGTTCTGGAAAGAACTGGGGCTGATGGAGAAGGGCAAGGTGCTGGTGAAGGGCATCCTGCAGGGCTGAGAGCGCACCCGCGGCCCCACGCGGCGGGCATGCCGCCGCCGGGCGCGCGCCGAGGGCGCGGCGACGCGGCCGCAGCGGTCGGCCAGCGGCGCTGCTGGGTCGCGAGGCCTCTGCGTGCTGTGCACCGTTTTGCTGACGCTGGTAGGTTGTGTGAAAGGGCGAGCCTGTGATGCGCCTTCTCAGGCAAGTGCCATTTGAAGGAGCAGGGAGGAGGCCTCGCTGGCGGCGGCGGTCTCGCCGGCGCCAAGCTGGCCAGGTACGGTGCTCTGCTTGCCCTCTTATTGCCTGTGCCAAGGGCCCGTCCTGGGGTGGTGGCGCGCAAAGGCAAGCTGGATAAGCGACCAGCAGCGCTCGGCTCTCCCGTGATGGAACGAACGGCTCGGTTTCGCTGCTCTCCTCCCCTGTCGGTGCTCCCTTAGGGGCCCTTAAGGGGCCCCGTGTGCCAAACATCAAGTGGGCAGCCTCCAATGGCCAGGATACCGCCGCCTCGGCTTCCCCTCTCGGCCCTTTCACACACCTGATGCTGCTGTCAGGCGCCCGGTAATGGGTAGTCCCACACAAGTACTGGTGGTCTCAACTAGGTCCTAGCACCATGGCCTGCCTCTATGTTCAAGCTCTATGGACGTCTCCCCCGCCCGCTGCGCGTGTGAACACCCGCCCGCCTCCACCACACACCAGCTTCTCGACCGTGCACGTCCCCAATACACTGTAGACCCCTCTAGAGCGCCTGCACGGCCTGTGAGGAGCATGGCAGAGGCCCAGGCAAGCCTGCAGAGCTGCGCTTGCCCGTGATGGCTGCGTGAACCGGTGCAGAGGACACAGCGCAGTGCTGTGCTGCGTGTGCCCGTCACCCTCTGAGCACAGGGGGCAGGGCGAGAGGCGCGGCAAGTGCGGGGGCACGCCCACCGCACTGCCCTAGCTCCCGTTCTCCGCCAGGGCTACCGGCACCCCCTGCGCGTACAAACCGTGCCCAGAGGCCGAAATTGCGTTGTTGCCGCCGCCAACCACCCCCGGGCTGGCCTGCCGCAACTTGGGCCCGCGCCCGCCACCACCGCCCTGTGCCTGCAGAGCACGCCCCGCGGGCAGGCCCTCGGGCCAGGCCCCCCGTTTCTGGATGCCGCCACAGTGAGGGCCCACGCCAAGGAGTCTTGCGCGCAGGCGTGGGCAGAGCCTGCGGCAGAGGAGTCGAGGGAGGGCGAGCTCCTGCGCCTGCTCTCGCTCGGCGCAGCACCGGGCGCCGCCGCCGCCGCCGATGCGGGTGAGAGGAGGGCAGCCACGCCCTCTGCCGGGCCTGGCGGCCCAGGCGCGCCCCACCCACGCCCCACCTGCCTGCGCATCGCCCAGTGGGCTCCTCCCCGGGCGGCCGCGCGCCCGCGCCGCTTCAAACCGCCGCCCGCGCGCGCCGCGTTGCATTGCCGCGCGCCCCGCCGTCGCCGGCGGCGGCCGCCGACGGCCCCGCCCCGCGCCGCACCTGCAGACGCCGCGCCCCTCGAGGCCGCCAGGCACAGCATCCAAGGCGCATCTGTGCTCGAAGACTGCCTCAACAGCTGTGCCCTGTTTGCCATGGACCGCTCTGGCACGCTGAGCACGCTGAGCGGGTGAGCGACGCCGCCCCTGCCGCCCGCGCCGCCGCTGGCGCCGCTGCGCGCGCCACGGCCTGCACCGGCTGCCTGGCTGAGCCTTCCTGTGCCGGCTGGCCGGCCTGTTTGTCTTGCCTTGCCGCGCGCCCGGTTGCCGCGGGACCCTGCACAGCAGGCTGCCTGCCGTAGC